TTAAAAAAAGTGAGCGATGTTTTTATGTACCTTTAGCACCTAAAACAGACCTGTGAATTGGCCGCCGGCCCAAGCTAGCAGGTACACCTTCAGAGTATACTCTAACACTACTCTGTATGATATATTTTGTTACTCAGAAAATAAATAACGTCTAGCGGCCGTGGGCTCTTGCTCTATTACAGCATGTTTATGATAATCTCTAAACATAATTTATTTTCTTTGAACCTCAATATTTCCAGGCGTTCACCGCACATGTAACAATCTACAAAAGCTTGCCCTAGAAAATTAGTAAAACAATTCATAGTAGATAAATAATTAAAATCATTGAGTGTTAATTATTAATCCTCTTACAGTACGAAATAAGTTTTAGGCTTTAGCATAGATAAATGTTTTAGACTTACAAATTTATATTGAATTTTTATTCGCTCACGAAAATACTTTGTCATTTACGAGAATAGCGTAGTTATTGGAAGTTAGGCGCTGGTTTCAATACTATAAAGTGCTTATCAAGCTCAGAATACGACGATGTCATTGCAATCAATAAAAGTATATGAAATTTGTTTTCAAGCATACTTAACCATAATGTTAGAATTTAGATGACGATATATACTCCAAAATTAATTTTCTCAACATATTACAAAATATGATTTACAAAGAAAATATAATACTATTATAAACAACAAAACAACAGAGTGGTCTGTCTAAATGACGAATTAGCTTGGTTATTTATTCCGTGTAACCATTTTTTGGTTACATACACCCACAAGTAACCAAAAAAATGGTTTAGAATGATGATACATAAAAAGTATTTAATGTGAATAGATTATTAATATAAAAATTATAAGATAGCGTATGAGCCAAAAATGGTTTTAGTCTACTTCTTATCTTAAAAAATGTGTGTTAGAAAAAGGATAAAGAAAGAGCACCAATTTCTTACTCTTTGCCCCAAAGTCTACTAAATACAATAAATCAAATATTTCTCTGCTGACTATTGTTTTTTCATCGTTTATTTTTTTTTAGCCAAAACGTGTTATTATTTTGTAACATTTATCTGTTTGTATCTATATTCATTTATTATTTGTAAAGGAACACATGACGCTTGCCGAAATAGAAACTAGTTGATTTCGCCGATTGCTGCTCTTATACGGACGGAATTTTATCTCGGGTCAAGGTTAAACAACAACATTTGGTGAAAGCCAAATGCCTTCGTTCTTACATAATAGGATACTTACATAATAGGAACTACATAGTTTTTAAAAGGAAGAAAGGAAAGGAAAAGTTCAGTGTCCAGATATCTAACACAGAAAATAATCGTCACAATCCGTGTTTATAAGTTCATCAAAAAATGCGATGACCCAAACAAGAGAAGAAAACTCAAAGTAGTACAATACGTATCGCAAATCACAACAACGACGTGTCAATGAAAGGCGCGATTCGATGACGTTCCATTTTACGCAATTGAACAAAATACTGATACTTAGCATTCTAATTGTTTATGAAAATAATTTGTATTTGATTCCTAAATATTTATAGAATTTAATTCTGAAAAGTGTGGATAGTAATCCTTGAGTACTAAATCCGAAGATATTACATAAACAAAACAAATATTTCTTTTTTTTTTTTAAGGCCTCAAATAATAACTTATTTTTCTATACATGACATTAACGGACGCTAAAGACTCCTTGTCAGGTACAATTTGGCCATCCTCCTTTCAATAATATAACTACCAATTTTTAAAGTATTTCAAGTCAGTCAAGTATATGTAAAAAAAATAATTTGTTTACAAGCTTGATATGAGTAATAGACCAAAAATATTTCTAAAGGAAAAGATTCACTTTCCTAAAAATTAATTCATTTTACCAAATACCGATAATAACATACCACCTATATCAAGGAACACAAGCAGTGAATACGAGGATCAGGAGATTTCTCCAAACTTTCATTAAATCTAAGCAAAGTCAAACTATAAACTACTAGTACTACTCATTAGAGTTACAAAACTAAAATTTAACTCGGCCAGAGTGTTATCTAAATTTGCAGTAAGGAATGTCTTTAGAAACTTACAAAATTACCATCTAATCCCGAAGTTTACCGATCGCAATACGCGGAGTTTTAATTTAAACCCACCTACGGCAACGTGGCGCCTTCCAGTCACATCTACATACATCGTTTATGAATTTTGCTCTGAAATTTTTCGTTCACTTTGAATTAGAGACAGCGCAATGGATTTGCCTAAATTTTTTGCATTAATACCTGATTTTTTTTTTTCTAAGTCGTGAACTTTCTTTAAGTACGACGCCATTGTATACTTTTATTTCGATATTTCTAACTTTTAAAGCACAACTGCGTTGTACAAAAGACAATTTCAGCATGGGCCCTCGGTAAGTTTTATTTGTGACGATGACTTAATTGGTGACGGTGGAAATTCTGAAAAGTTGGAAGAGGACTAAGTAATCACACAAAGATTCTCAACAAGACAAGTTCAATAATGTGCTCGTGAGGTACGGCCGTCATCTGTAAATGTAGGTCTTATGCCCATGTTCTAGACGCAACTCGCAACTTCTCTTCAATTCCAATCGAGTTAAACCCTACCCATCGTGTGGTGGTCTTAACCAACGGTGACAGTTAGTATACTTTGTTGATTTGCGGAATAAGGTCAGAATAAATAGATAAAATATTTTAGGTCACATTTTTACACAACATTCTCTAGCCCCAAACTATGCAAAGCTTGTACTTTGGGTGCTAGAAAACTGATAAACATACTTTTCTTTAGAAATTTAAAGTTTTTTTATAGTGCTAATCTCTGCACAAGTTGAAATAATTTTCTTTTGTAAATAAATACATATTATACATATATAAACACCCGGTCACTAGAAAAACACTATGTTCATCACACAATATTTTTCCTGTAGTGGGGATCGAACCCACACCCTCTGGCGCCATTAGGGTCGTCAATCAAAGATAAAATAAAGGGTTCTCCAGCTTCTGCTGCCTTCAGTGAGTTATAGTATAGTGGTCATTGGGATGTTCCTTCCTTGTTTCCGTGTATAGCGTAGATAATTTCTATTTTAATATCCTAAATAACAATTCGCACTTTTTCTATGCTGAGGAGGCAAGGGTTCCTAGGTTTCCTGTCTATCGCAACGTAAATTTTACATTGAAAGTTAAGGAACAAAAACATCGGGATGTAACTTTGTTGCAAATAACCAACTTAAGATAGTCCTTTTAGAATGTGCCCATTTTCAGGAGTCTCATGTAAATAATGCTGTTTAGCTATGAGCTTAACTAAATAAAGCTATTTGAATGGCAAGCGAGCAGATGATCTACAACACATTAAGAATTGCGGATAAGTTGCGACCTATTAAAGAAGTGGGCCCCGATTACGCCACTCACTTGCCATTCAAATAGCTATCAAATGACGCAAAAGTAAAAGTGATACTTAAGCTACATGCCAGTCATCTGTGGAGCCGTGGTAAGTACCCAGACGATGCTACCAGTTTGTACCACAGTAGAACACACTGTGCACACCACATTCACACTGACACAAAATTCAACGCAGTTATCTATTATATTTTTGTAAGCAATACTTAACACAATCTTGTAGTAATACTTTACGGTATGAAACACCTTACAAAAACATTAGCCTAAACATTCAGATGTTCAGATCTCTAGAAAAGTGTTGTTCACATTCCATGCTTCGTATCACTTTTGTATCGCATTCCGAAAAACTATATTGTACTCAAAACAAAACATCGTGCAAGTTTCATAGAAAATCAATAGTAACAGTTGCATAAAACTTTATGCTGCTCTATCTATGATCAAAAATATAAAAGATTCTAAATTGGCTCAGTATAACAAATTCAGAGGGTGTAAAATTGATTCATAGCATGCATCGAATATATCTTTGTGCAGCTTCAAACGAAGACGTTGAATTTAGTATTGTTGAATAAAATATTAGTTCCATGTCGAGTAACATTTGACTGACGGCAAGCTATTCTGAGAATGTCGTAGTACAGTCGCGAAAATATCTCAAATAATATACTCGTGTTCCAAAAATTTTAAAGTTTTGGTAGGTATTTTTTTAAATGAAAAATACAAACAAAGAAGATAAATGTCGCAAATTCTGAAATCTCTATAAATAGTAGTTTTATCTAGATTCTAATAACGTAAGAGGTTACATTTTTCTTTGTTCTAGAATTATATGTGTCCATACTTAAATTAAATCCGAATGTGAAATCTTTTTCATAGAAAATAAATTTATTATTTTACTTATTATATATTTACATTGTGGATTATAGTTACAACATTAATAGATGTTGTTAAAATTAACATATAAATATTTAGAATCGCAAATCAAAACTGACTTCTGAAATTAAGATTTGATATTTTTCCGACTTTTTAGTCACACGAAAATTCTTTGTTATTCGTAGTTAAAGCAAAATGCAATGAAAATTTAAAACTATATGCGATATTTTTGCACTATCATCGTCTTAGCTCTGATAGAGATACACCACGATCGAAGAAGTACCATCGCGTCATAGACGACCGGTATAAATATTTTGGGATACGTCCGGTGAACAAGGTTCCGCTAATATCATCGATTTGCTAGTGAACGCTGCGGACAAGGTTATCCCTTCGTCGCGTATAAATTTTACTGTACAGTTTATGGATTTTAACCAGCTTTAAAAAGAAGGGATTATCAATTCGAATGTTTATTTATGTTCGGGCATAACTTCGTCATATATAAACCATATTGTTTGTAGCTAGTCAAGTTTGAGGAAGGCGCAACTTGCTTTTTAAAAAGACACTAAATCGATTTTTAATATTTAATGTTAATTAAAAATTACAAGTGAGTGATACAATCGGATGTTTAATACAGACTGTCCTTACGACTAAACTTAATACTAAAAGAAACGAGGGCTGGAACTGCTGCCTCTGCATTTTCGTCGTCGTCGGAACATTCCACTTCGCGTTACGATGCGTGGGAACCGCGGGCGCTAACTAAGCGTTATTGAGGAACAAAGGGCCAGGAACGGGAGTAGATCGTGTAACTCCTCCCTCCGCAAGATCGGGATTATCCGCAGGGTGGGGATGATCCCGAGTTTTTCCTAAAATACGGTTACATATTTTCCTAATACTATTCTTAAAAGCTAAAAGTACAATACACGATACCACTATTACAAAGAATGCTATGTTCCCTACACCAATGCTTTTTGGGTTAACCATACTATTATAATTTTCACTATCACTAAATTCACTTCCACTCTTTTGTAATAGATAATTCAGGAACTGAATATCGGCAAGGTCCACTCTGTTTAGGTTTACGGGTTTCTGGAGACCAGACGTTGGGTTTGCTTGAATTGTCGGTAACTGGATATTTGGGAACTTCGGATAAGATATTTCTTTTCCTCGATTTTGGCGTTTCTTCAGCTTGAGGTCTTTTATTCTAATTTCGCAGTCGTCGTCTATGGTTAATAGGTAAGTTCCGAAAACAGGTTCTTGTGAAATTTCGTCGTTGCAATACTTGGTCAACAGTGTTTCTGTTTTAGCATAAATAATCCATCGGTTTGGTTGTATCAGGTATGTTCTTACGTTATTTATGGTCACGGATACTGGCTGACAGGAAGTAATGTTTGTGGAAAACTTCATGAGATCAGTGATGCAGTCATCTTCCATCGGTGGTATATTATTTTCGAAGCATAGGAAGCGGGCTTCGTCGATCTCGCTGCATGGCTGGGAGAGTGGCATTGCTTTCAACCCTTTCACAAGGATATAAGGATTTTTGGCAAAAGCAATGACCGTTTCAATTTCATTTAGCCTTAGGTAGAGAGTTTGAAATCGGTTGAGGAAAGCATTATAGATATGGACAACTCTATTAATCGATTGTAAAACTTTTGATTCGTTTAATTTGTGAATAATATCTTGAATGCTTTCTTCAATTTTTACAAAATTACTTTTGGTAGAATTTGCTATTTTTGAGAATGAACCCAACATTTCAGCGACGATTGTTATTTTACTGTTTAAAGTGTTTTGTTTCGCCTGAACATCCTGAATTAATTTTTCATACCTTACAGCATCATCGTTATCAAGGTTGCCAGTGATTGTCTTAATTAATGAGCCAAGGGGATTTAGCAAACCACGCTTAGATCTTATTGACGGGTTTAGTTGTTTAAATTTTTCTATAGTTATGTTCATGACATAATCGGTTTGTGTTTCGACGTCGGAAAGGTCCGAATCTAATATTCTACTATCAAAACAGTTTTTAATCTGGATTTTTAACTTTACGTAACTATTCATATTGGATTCTAGTTCCTCATATAATAATTCTAAATCTAAAGTTTAATTTTTAATGAGTGTCCAAGCGTCATGGCTGACCAGGGCTTGTCCTTCTTTAATAGGTAGTAGTCCGGGGTTCTTGTCAATCCGGTGTAGAAGAAAGGCTCCCGTCTGGACCACCAGAAGGAGTAACCTGCGGAGGGCGTTTGATATCTTTAATAGGTACCTTGGTGTTCCTATTATTCGTAGTGATGGGTACCACGTTACGTTCTATGACTCCAGTAACTTGAGCCTTTTGATACCGTGGTTTATCTTTGCCGCGCCTAGTGTTTACCCCTTTTATGTACACTGTGTCACCTATGTCTATGTCGAAATTTGTATCACCACCTCGCTTCTTTATTTCCGTCTGTTTTTTGTCTATGATCTTATCTGTGAGATATTTGTATAAGTATTTCGTTCGTCGGGCATGTTCTTTTACGAGTTGTTGTGTAAATTGCTTGTTGAAATCGACGTGAAATACGTTATTTGATTCCGTGTGGCCAAAAACTACTTCAAATGGGGTGAGACCCGTTGTAGAATGTATTGTGTGGTTATAGGACATTATGGCGTATGCCATAACTGATGCAGCATCTGTTATCTTTTGTTCGTATTTGGCAATCCTATATATTTCTATGATGGTGGAGTGAAATCGCTCGACTACTCCCATGGAGTTTGGGTTATGAGGAGTGCCTATGTGGAGATCTATTTTATAAAAAGAGAGCATTTCCTTCATTAATGTGTTATTGAATTCAGTACCAGGATCTGAACTGATTCTATTGGGTGTTCCGTATAAAGAAAAGTACTTTATTAAGGCTCTAATAACTTCAGGTGTAGACTTGTTATTAATTTCGATCGCTTGACCTAGTTTACTAAAGGCATCCACGATTGTGAGATACTGTTTTCCGTCAATCGAGAAGATATCGATAAATAACTCTTGGAATGGTCTATTTTGTGTTTGTGTTAATTGTAATTCCGGTTTTAGTGGTTTACGATCATATTTCATTTTTCTACAAACTTCACATGCATCAATAATGCTAGCTATTGTCTGACTCATGTTATTCCAGTAGAACGTGCGTTTAAGGTGCAGTAAAGTCTCCTTTATACCCCTATGACTATTTTTGCCTGCATGGTATTTAATTATGATGTCGCGCTGTTCCTGTTCGTCGTCCACATATATTACTCTCTTTGTGCATTCGTAGAATTTTACCGTTCCTTTCTGAAAAAGTTTCAATATTGCTTCTGAGAACTGTTTGCGGTGCTGTGGGTCTTCGAAGTAAAGAAAGTATTTTATTTTGGGTCTTATATAGCTTTTCAGAAATCCTTTGATTAGTTCTGGGTTGTCCAGGGGTAGGTGGATTTCTAGGACCTTTTGCTTATCCCTAGATATGTCTTTAACGGATATTTTATTTCTATTCCATGTATGCACGAGTATTTGGTTTGGTTTGGTATCTATGGCTTCCTGTAATATAAGCATACCATCTGTATCAAGATCTTTTGCTGAATGAATTGTATCTATGGTACTCATATCATCTCGTCCTTCAGATGCAGTTGCAGTACTACTTGTAGTCGGTATGGAGTATGGAGATTGTCTACTCTTGCTCTGGATGGATAAGGTATTCTCATCGGAGTCGGATGAAATTTCTATCGGGGTCGGTGAGCTTTCATGTGACGTAGATGCTGCATTCCTCTGATTCAATTTTTCTATTTCACTAGTTAATTCAGCAATATAGCGTTTGAGTTTTTGCTCCTTTTCATCCACGTTCACCTGCATTGACGCGTCGTCGTCTTCACTTAACGCGTTCACCTTGATTCTTGATAAAGCGTCGGCATTACAATTTTGTTTTCCTTCCTTATGTTTTATTTCATAATCAAATTCCGCAAGCCGCAGTTTCCATCTTGTTAACTTGCTATTCGGTTCTGATATTGACTTGGCCCACATAAGTGGTCTGTGGTCGGTATATATGATAAATTTTTGTCCGTAAAGGTAAGGTCTGAAATGTTTTGTGGCCCACACTATTGCTAGGAATTCCTTTTCGATCGTGCTGTAGCGTGTTTCTGCGTCATTCAAAGTACGGCTCGCGTAAGCTACCGGTTTGTCGCTGCCTATAGGTCCTTGGGATAGTACTGCACCAATTGCGTAATTCGAGGCGTCCGTTGTAAGAATAAATGGTTTGGAGAAGTCTGGAAATTGTAAGAGCGGTGCGTTTGTCAAGAGCTCCTTGCATCTTTCAAATGCGTCTATGTATTCTTTTTTTGTACAGTCAATTCTATTTTTCTTTTTTAGACATGATGTAAGAGGTTGCGTGATTTTAGCAAAGTCTTTTATAAACTTCCGGTAGTAACCTACCAATCCAAGAAAACTCTTAATTTCAGTAGACGTTCGTGGTAGTGGGAATTTCAATACAGCTTCTATCTTGTCGTTATTGGGCTTTAAGCCGTCTTTCGTAATTGTGTGTCCAAGGTATAGAACTTCTTTTCGTAGGAATTCACATTTATCTAAGGTAACTTTGAGATTGGTTTCCCTGAGTCGATCAAAAACTTTCCTGAGTTTGTCGATATGTTCTTGCAGGCTGTTAGAGAACACTATGATGTCATCAAGATATACCAGGCAATGTATACCCTGAAGTCCTCGTAGCACGTTGTCCATTGCCCTCTGGAATGTTGCAGGAGCTGTCTTGAGCCCGAGACGGGAGTCTTTTGAATTCGTAATGTCCTGTCTGTGTGGTGAATGCCGTTTTTGCCCTGTCTGCTTCGTTTACTTCAATTTGATGGTAACCACTGGCCAGGTCTATGGTGCTAAAATATTGGGATTTGCCTATTTTATCGAAAATATCTGTTATATTTGGCAATGGATATTTGTCGTCTACGGTTATTTCATTGAGACGTCTATAGTCGATGACCATCCTATATTTTTTTTCTCCAGTTGCATCTAATTTCTTTGGCACCAAATGAACGGGCGCACTCCAAGGTGAGTGGGAATCAACTATTACATTATCTGTCAAAAGTTTATCTACCTGTTTCTGAATTTCTTGATTAACAGCAGGCGGGTGTCTATAGGGCCTGATGTAGATTGGGTCTTCGTTGGTAGTCCTAATATTGTGCTTTATTTGGTTAGTAAATGATAATGGTATTTTATCACAATAAAATATGTCACGATACTCATAACACAATTTAGAAATATACTCACGTTCTTCTTTATTTGTGTGGTCTAGTCGTAATTTTTTCAAGTTCTCTTTCAGTAGGTAATCAGTATTAAGGTCACCTTCTATAAAGTTAACTTCACATTCTTCATTCTTATAAATGGTTACGTGAAAAGGTTCTTTAAAAGTTATAACGGCTTTTACTTCAGAAGCGTTCTGTATGACCGTTTCAGCAAAGTAGTTCTCGCACTTTACAAGTGCGGCTGGCATACGGACGCCTTCCTGAAATTGCTTGTAGTCTATCAATGCTTCACCATGTTGTAAGTCAGTGGGAATCCTAATCTTCCTCTCAGTTCGTGGTGGTATCTCGATCTCATATGGTGGGTCGTATATTATAGGAATATACGCGTTGTGGGTCACCAACATTTGGTTACGCATGTCAATGTTTGCTCCTAATTTGGATAAAAGGTCAGATCCTATTAACCCGTCGTAACGTTTGTCTACGTCATACACATAAAATTTTTGCTGGAGATGGCTCTTGAAAGTTTTCAGCAATGGTATGTATATAATTTCATCATGTGTGCTCTGAGCATGAGTGCTAATAACTTTAAAAGGTTCATAGTATCTAAAATCATTAAAGTATTCTTTAACTTTTGCGGGACTTATAAAGGAACGCGAACTTCCCGTGTCAATAAGAAATTTAGAGTTTATTTCAGGTATTTCTATGTGTGGTAATTTTTGGATGCTGTTACAATAATTAAGGTTTATTATTTCTCCACATCCGTCGAGGCCGTTTCCCGAAAATTTTCCGAGTTTACAGGTATTTCGTCATGGGTATTTTCTTCATAACTATTTTCCTGGTATGCGAGACTTACTTCGTCGGTATTTTGGATATAATTGCATTCGTTGACGGAGTACGGTGCACCGTTTCCATATGAGTCATAGTTATAGTCATAATTATACATAGGCTCGTCGTAGTAAAGCTCATTCACAAGAAGGTTCTGCCTAACAGGGGCGGTACGCATCGTGACGTCATCATCATATTTTGGAGGCTGTATTTGTTGGTGGGGTATCCCGAATTTAAATCCACCGTATTGGAATGGTGGTCGTTGGTTAGGGGCTTGAGATGGGCGCTGCGGTTGAATTCCGAAACGATAGCCTTGTGTGGGTGGTGTGAAGGTTGGTTGTTGAGATGGAAACCTTGGTGGTTGGTACCCAAATTTCGGCTGCTGTGTTGCTTGGAAAGTTGGCTTATGTTGTGGGAATGTGAATCTTGGTTGTTGCATTGTTTGGAAAGCTGGTCTAAGACTAACGTTTTGGGGTATGCCGAACTTGAAATTATTATGTGGAATTCCAAATTTAAAGTTATTATTTGCGTGTGGTGTTAAGTTGAATGATGCTGGTTTTGGATTTACCGGTTGAGATGTATTAGGTGAATTTTGGGCGGTTTGTCTCAAAAGTTTGCTTTTGGCGTCGTATTGGAATTTGAAGTTTACCTCTTCTGTGACAATACTGAGTGCGTTTTCTAATGTAGAGCAACCTTTTAGCCTTACAATTCTAATCATATCCTCAGGGAGGTTATACAGAAAAACATTTAAAGCCGTATTATTATACACAATCATTTTGGCAGCCTTGATTCCTTCATCAGGCAATCTGTTGACCTTGGCAAAAAGTGAACTCCTAACATTTTGGATTCGATGGCAAAATTGAATATATGTTTCCGATGGTTTTATTTTGAGGGTCTCTAGTTCGATCGCGATACATTCCTCCGAACGAGGATCGCCGAAATGTTGCGTTAAAATTTCCTTTAAGGCTAAATAAGACGTAATGTTTGGGTGATCGCTTAATAAAGTCGCGGCTCTACCCGTCAGTCTACAGACACAGCATGAAAAACATACAAATCTTGGGCCTGGTTTCCTACTATCACGCTTCCACTAACCACGTAATCACATTTGGATAAGAACAGGTTAAGCTGGCTTTCGTCCCCATCGTATTTAGGGATAAGTGAGAGCACCTCTTTAGGAATTGCTCGGAACTCCATTTTATTCACAAAATTAATGACTAAAACCTATCTCTACTTTATATACAATTTCAATGTTATTTAACTTTAAATTTATTTCTAAAATTTTTGACTTGCCGAGTTGTGCAAATGCGTAAAGATATGGTAGTAAGCTAAGCGATTTACCTATTTAGTGTAAATCAAAATCAAATAAAATTAATACTTAGATTCTACAAATTATAATGCGATATTATGTTGGAAAAGTCAAAGGAAATTGCAGGAAGTGAAAAGGTTTACTCACGCTGTTCTGCTCAATCCCATGTCCTCCTGAGTCTGCTCCGACACCCAATTTGCGCGCTTCCCCGGGAGACGAATTTTATTTTTGGTTCGACGGATTTTCCTCGTACGCGTAAAAAAACGGTTTCTCGAATTTTCGCCAAGTTTGGGGCGAACGCGACCGTATATATTCGCGAAACTTTCGGAAAATCCTACCGGCTGCGCCAGTCAAGTTTGAGGAAGGCGCAACTTGCTTTTTAAAAAGACACTAAATCGATTTTTAATATTTAATGTTAATTAAAAATTACAAGTGAGTGATACAATCGGATGTTTAATACAGACTGTCCTTACGACTAAACTTAATACTAAAAGAAACGAGGGCTGGAACTGCTGCCTCTGCATTTTCGTCGTCGTCGGAACATTCCACTTCGCGTTACGATGCGTGGGAACCGCGGGCGCTAACTAAGCGTTATTGAGGAACAAAGGGCCAGGAACGGGAGTAGATCGTGTAACTAGCTGTTGTCAAATCGCCAGCGCGATTGGTAATCTTTGTCAATAAACCTATAGGTACAGGGGTGTGAATTAACTACTAAAACTAAGACGATTATTTAGGACATAAACATACAGGATCTTTTTTCAAAAATCTGTTATTGAGCTGGTCATTAATTTGAATTATTTAGAGATGTTTTTCTTTATTCGCTTGAAATCGTTTTCCTTTTTTCAGTCCCGGTTTCAGTTTGACGCCGTTTTCTCATACGAGCAGCATCTCTGCTACGTCTACCCATATTTTATAAAACTTAAGTATTAAAAATAAATCATTAAAAATAATAAAAATATTTTTTTACAAAAAAAGAACCGACTTAAAAAACGGTAACATAAAAAATTTATAATAATGTTAAATCTAATACAATCAAATCTTGAAAATCTAACCTATATAACCTAACCTAACCTGTAACAAAATTTAACAATTTTTGACATATTAAATAATACGATAAATAAAATAGACGACTACGATAACCTGATTAGTAATAAAATTATTGCGATATACTAATCCAGAAAAACATACTAAAAGTAAACAAGGTTCTACATCATAATCTAATGCATTAAGAACGCGTTTACGAATTGACACTACTTGACAATTTTCACGCAATTTACAGCGACAAGCGCGAAATTTTATGTAACTGACGCAACTTGATATTTTTTTTTTAAGTTTACGTTAAAAGTGACATTTTCTTATTTATTTACATATAATTTATTTTCATTTCATCGAAGTAGTAGCCTGCTAAAATTTTACCGATTTAGGCTTTGGCATCTTACGCCGTGATAGCTCAGTGTCGGGGCGCTCATCTTTAATTCAATATTCTCGAGCAACCTGAGATCGATCCCCGGTGCCGGCACCAATGAAACTGTTAATTTTAAGTGCCAAATTATCATAGCTGTGAAAGCAATAATTATATTTTAAATATTACCATGTTTCACAAATATTTATAAACAGAATTGATGTAGAATACATAGTTCCATATTTTAAATAACTTTTGTACTGTATTATTACACCTTAAGGTCAATCCATCAAGTTCAAAGGGAAGGTCTCAAAAAAAAATAACAAAAGAAGCCCAAACTCTACACACATAGCTCTTTTCGTCTTTTACTTCCAGTAGTAGTTCTCGAAGTACACCTTCACGTCACTCCATCAAATCACAAGGCAAGGTCTCAAAATAAATAACAAAACAAACCCAAACTCGACACATTTAAAACTTCTCGTCTATTAGTTCCATTAGCAGTTCTCGAAGTACACCTTCAGGTCACTCCATCAAGTCAAAAGGCAAGGTCTCAACATAACTAACAAAACAAGTGAAATATGAATTTGTAATCCCTTCTAACTTCTAGTAAAAATATGACAAAGTGTGAAGTAAATTTTACTTTTGTCGTTCGTAGTCCGAACATAATGTGCAACTTTGTTAGGTTATATTTTGTATTCGTTCAGCGATCTTTTTCCTCGCGAGCTGCTATTTACCAGCGACACAGTGTCCACTCACGACGGCGGCCGAGCGCAGACTAATATTTCTTCTTTACATATTTTTGTGGAATAAATCAAGAAAGTAACAGTAAAATAATCTTAATCTCAATCACTTAAGATTCACGCGTAAGATTTAGATCTTACGCGTGAATGTGCTATGTTACATTGAAGATACATTCGCAGTCAATAAATTAGCAAGCAAGACCGATAACGTCTCTGCGAGAGAGAATTTAAGTACCTAAGTCAATCTTTTGTACACATGCCGGAATCATAATGTCTTCATCTCAGCGCCTACCATGTTCACAGAAATAACCTAAAGCAAATAAATTAATCTGACAATTGAAATTAATTTACGACCAAAGTAGCACATACGAAGGTGTAACCGAGCCATCAATAAATTCATAAAGTTTAAACTGAAGAAAACAGAAAAGGAACAGCATTTCATCGTGCTCAATAAGTTGACCTTAATACATAGAGCAGTAAATACAACATTCTACTGAACACATTATGTCAAGGAACAAATACTTCGATAGAAATGAATGGTGTTTGTTTAGTAAGGGTTTTAAAATGATGTAATATTTTTTTTATTACCTTCCCAAAAATTATAAAAATTATACATCAGTAAATATCATCTGGTAAGTATTTAATGATTAAGTAGTAAATTCATAGGTGGTGGGGCCACTCAACAGTATTCACCATTGCACGAATGGGCAGGTTGATCCGGTGAGTACCACGACCTCGAAGAAGTGTGTTTGAGTGTATTAAGAGGTGGTAACATCGTGGTTGCATCTGCAACTATTCTTAATCACTTAATATCAGGTGAACCACCAGCTCGTTTCCGACTTTCTTACATGAAACAAAAAAACTAAGGCCAAAGCTTATGTTACAAGAGAATAATTGTCAGGGATTATCGAATAGATTTTTTTTTACTAACCTGTGGTTTAAATAAACAAGCCAGGTATTGGAACAAATGAAGCCAAACACGGAGATTGAATTGTGTTAGCGTGGGAAGCAACGTGCTTCTATCAGGAGTCAAAAAGAAATTATATGAAGTGTAAAATAAAAATAAACAAATCAATGCGGGATAAATGAAAAAAAAATGTGTGTGTGTTGCATGTGAGTGTGTATGCGTGCGTGTAAGCAAATTATCTTCATCTTTAATATTGTATCACCTGTTTTGTTTGTGAATAATGATTTTAAATGCAGCTAATAACGGTCAAAAAGTTATTGGTAGCTATGGTAACACCATGAAATAGGCGTCGCTTTTATGTGTTCCTCTAGTAAAAATTCACTCTCATCATTTTTACCAAACGCGCTAAAAGAAGTATAACTCTAAGTTTGTTATGTTACCTTGAAATTTGGCACTGCCCCTAGCTAAACAGTAGTTGCACTAAATAAAGTCCTTTGGAAGAATTTGTTATAATTTTGCATATGTGTAAGGGAAAAGCATCCATCCCGTCCCTGAAACCAATGAGCACAATGGTTCTGGTGGCGGAAACAATGTCACTAATTTCACTTTGCCGCTTACACAATACAATCCAGGGGCATCTATTTTGTATTCCAATGCTTCAATATGTGGACAAACTGACTTTCATAGATCCAATAGCACCGCATTGGTGGGAACTATAGACTACCGTTGAAACATCATTACTGAAAGCATCTTGACCAATGATGTTTTAATAAAGTCAAAATGTTTAAAAAGTAAATATATTTTTCCGCTTTACATATATATCACAATCATATGTTTATGTGACAGATAATGTTCAATACGTATGGTACAAAAAGACATAACAGCCTATAGAATTGCAAACCTATTACACCAATTGAGGTAATTTGAGTTCCTGAGTTTCGGTGCACTAGTGTCATATTTCTCTAGTATTTATATATAATATTATAGATACCACTATGTTATTATATTTCACTATACTTTAATGTATATTTGAAATTAAGCTTTGTTGAATTGCGTTAAGGAACACATGAATATACAATAGAAT